TCTAGTTCAGTTCTAGTCCAGTTCTATTTTAGTTTAAATTCAGTTCTAGTTCAATTCTAGTTCAGTTATAGTTCAGTTCTAGTTCAGTTCTAGTTCAGTTCTAGTTCAGTTCTAGTTCCGTTCAGTTCTAGTTCAGTTCTAGTTCAGTTCTAGTTCAGTTCTAGTTCAGTTCTAGTTCAGTTCTAGTTCAGTTCTAGTTCAGTTCTAGTCAGTTCTAGTTCAGTTTCTAGTTCAGTTCTAGTTCAGTTCTAGTTCAGTTCTAGTTCAGTTCTAGTTCAGTTCTAGTTTCAGTTTCTAGTTTAGTTCTAGTTCAGTTCTAGTTCAGTTCTACTTCAGTTCTAGTTCAGTTCTAGTTCAGTTCTACTTTAGTTCTAGTTCAGTTCTAGTTCAGTTCTAGTTCAGTTCTAGTTCAGTTCTAGTTCAGTTCTAGTTCAGTTCTAGTTCAGTTCTAGTCAGTTCTAGTTCAGTTCTAGTTCAGTTCTAGTTCAGTTCTAGTTCAGTTCTAGTTCAGTTCTAGTTCAGTTCTAGTTCAGTTCTAGTTCAGTTCTAGTTCAGTTCTAGTTCAGTGTTCTAGTTCAGTTCTAGTTCAGTTCTAGTTCAGTTCTTGTTCTGTTCTTTTTCAGTTCTACTACTCCAGTTCTATTTCAGTTTTAATTCAGTTCTAGTTCAATTGTAGTTCTGTTCCTCGTTCAGTTCTAGTTCAATTCTAATTTTTTACAATCATCTGCGTAATATATTAAATATTTGTTTAAACTAATATTTAAACGGTCTTTTATATCTCAAATAATCAGTTTGTTCGGTTATTCTTTATTACACTTAAAAAAATCTACAATCGATTAAAAAAATGTCCCCTGCAATTAAAAAAGATTACAACACTTTACTGTTAAATAATCATAAAACCAACAGTAAATGCAGATCCATAACCTTTGTACCGGTATGTCCAGTTATCACGTGATAATCTCCTTGCTTTAAATTTTTATAAAAATTGTAAGAATCATTATTGGTAATGAATTCATTGAAATCCTGCAAAGTTTAGAACCATCCGCCAAATAATCTAAAACAATCTGAGAGCTGCCCATGGCACCAGCAGCTGAACAGGGCCATCAATGCCATCCGTTCCGGCACTAAGAAAGCAAACATTTTTCAAGCGAGGCTGTTGTAAAACTCCCGAGAAAGTCTTAAGGCTAATTCTTGATTGCGACCGCCTACACCGGAACCAGAGACCTGAAAAATAATAATATTATGAAAAATTTTTATAATTAGGCTAAAATATGGATTTATTAACTACCTTAACTGTGGGCTCTCCGGCCATTATTAACAGTAAAGGTTTTTGGGATTTTTCACACATTAGTAAGTTTTGAGAAAATGTTGAAAAGTACGCGAATCAAAAGGAAACTTTTTGCTTAATTCTTGTTCATTTATAAGACCCTCTTTGAAATCGTATATATTATTAAGAAAATCACAGTATTGGTTTACTAAACTGTTTACATCTCCTTGTATGGTGGTAGAAGCTATAAAAGGATTGTAATTTAGCTTTAGAGACTCATGTACCGCTGCTGCTGTGGCCACTCTATTATCGCCCACTACATAAATTGAGTTATTTTTTAATTGTTGTGTTTTCCACTTTATTTCCATAAGCAAAAGCTGTTTTATTTGTTCATCTAAATCCTGCCACAAGTTAAATTTATCTAATATTTCTTTCGCCTTAAGATGTTTTGTTTGTGTACAACCAGGTGGGGCCACTGGCTATTAGATCCACAGGATCTCCCACTATATCACTAATAACAAAGGAAATAACTGCATGAGCTTGGGCAGCAGCCATGGCCAATTGTCCGCCCTTTATAGCAGAGAGAGCTATGCGCACTATATTCATTTCTTGTATGGAAGCACCACAATTGGAGAGTTTTTTAATTAGTTGCATTTTATCCTCAAGTTTGAGAGGAGGCTTAGGCAGTGGCAATAAAGCCGAACCTCCACCAGATATTAAAACAAATAACACATCTTCCGCAGTCATAGATTCGGCCAATCGTTTAATTTCTTTGGCTGCCCGTAGGGCGTTTTCATCTGGCTGATTGTTTTCGGCACCCTCGTATATTTTTATTAAAGAATTCGTTCTCAAAGACTTTTCCTTTATGCCCTCAAACTGCTGACGACTACCCTTGGGTATACTCAGAACGCCTTGATGCAAAAACTCACCCAAAGATTTTTCCAGTTGAACCGCCATACCCAACACCGCCTTACCAAAGCCCACCACATGACATTTTTTATTTGTTATATCCACATATTTACCCTGGACTTGTATACATATCTTATCCGCTTCCAGACGAGGCTCCAAATTGTAATTATTACCGGCTGATAAAAGATTTTTCGGTCGCACAGCTTCTACCGACTTCAAAAAGATATTTTTTAAATTGTGCAGATGCTTTAGATGGCCCGACATTTTAATGGAAGTAGAATTTTTAATTTCGTTTTTATATTCAAAAGATTTGTTTCATGATTTATTGTCGTTTTTAATCTAAAATAGTGATAAGAAGTTGAAATTGAAAAAAAATGTAAACAAAAGACAGTTGTTGCAAATTTAAAACAGCTGTTTGTGATTTGCTTTCATTACAAGCGGTTAATTTCTAAAAAAGGAAAGAATTTAGCAAGTGCATAAACCATTTAGTTTGGGTTTGTGCCTTTACTACAAAATTTACCGCGTTCAACACGTATATTACAACTGAGGGTTGTATTTTTGCGTTGCTGTGGCTCAGCAAAAATTTCCAAAAGCCGTTTTTTTATCTGAACTGAGCAATCATGTCCCCAATCTTAGGTTGGAAGTCCCCAAAAATCCCCATTTTTAAATTGAAATCCCCATAGTTTTAACCAAATAAAACATCATGATTGGTTGCCAGACATGTCTTACAAACTGCGGACATCTGGTAGTCAGTGTAAAATTAAATCAATAGAAAGTGTCTTTGATAAGCGTACATTGAATTTTTTAATGAAACATAGATGGCGCTATATAACATAATATTGTAAAAAAAAAAAAACATAAATTACAAGCAGATCATAACATACAGATGTCGATGAGTTTCCAGAATGTCAAATCACATATGAAAAAAATATGACATTTATTGAAACCACATAGAAATATTTTCACAAATTGTCACTCGCTGTCACCTCATCTTTCAGAGTTACTGCGAAAAGCAGATTTGGCTGTGCACCTCACACAAACACGTGTATTTCTTATGGGACCTCCTAGGTATGATATTGCTGTGCACAGCTTGACGATATTTCTGTGCACAGCATCCTGCTCTCTTCAGTCTTTTCGAGAGTATTTATTTATTTATTTATTTTTTTTTTTTTGAAGAAAATAAAAAATATGTATTATTTTTGATATATACAGCAAAACTAAGCATTTTTTACACATTCTGATGTAATTTTCACGAAATCTATGCAATATAATTCCATGAAAATCATCATACATTCTACACGAAAGCTTGACTCGTGCTGAAAATTGCCAGAATCGGTCCACAATTTCATATACTTTCCAACAAAAGTACATATTCCCGGAAAATGGGTTTTTTGTTAATAACTTCCGTCACAATGTCGATATCTTAACAAAAATCGTATGTCAATAGAATTCATTCAGAGAAAAAAAATTTCTGGATCGGTCCATACAAGGTCCACTCCCGAAAATCACTTAAAACCACATAACTCATTAGTAAATGAAGATATCCATATAAAATTTGGCACAAGTATTGCCCATATGCATAGAAATATTACTGTGAAATTTTTTTCCGATCGGTCCATAATTGGTCATAGCTCCCATACAAGGTCCACTCCCGAAAATCACTTAAACGCACATAACTCATTACTAAATTAAGATATCCATATAAAATTTGGTTCAAGTATTACTCATATGCACAGAAATATTACTGTGAATTTTTTTCCTGATCGGTCCATAATTGGTCATAGCTCCCATACAATGTCCCCTCCCGAAAATCACTCAAACGCACATAACTCATTACTAAATTAAGATATACATATAATATTTGGTACAAGTATTGCTCTTATATACAGAAATATTACTCTGAAAGTTTCTTCTGATCGGTCCATAATTGGTCATAGCTCCCATACAAGGTCCACTCCCGAAAATCACTTAAAAACCACATAACTCATTACTAAATTAAGATATCCATATCAAATTTGGTACAAGTATTGCTCGTATATACAGAAATATTACTACGAAATTTTTTTTGGATCGGACCATAACTGGTCATAGCTCCCATACAATGTCCCCTCCAGAAAATCATTTAAAGGCGCATAACTCATTACTAAATTAAGATATCCATATAATATTTGGTACAAGTATTGCTTATATGCACAGAAATGTTACTGAGAAATTCCAGTCGGTCCATAATTGGTCACAGCTCCCATACAAGGTCCACTCCCGAAAATCACTTAAAAACCACATAACTCATTAGTAAATGAAGATATCCATATCAAATTTGGTACAAGTATTGCTCTTATATACAGAAATATTACTATGAAATTTTTTTTGGATCGGAGCATAACTGGTCATACCTCCCATACAAGGTTCCTCCTAGAAAATCACTCAAACGCACATAACTCATTACTAAATTAAGATATCCATATAATATTTGGTACAAATATTGCTCATATGCACAAAAATATTACTGTGAAATTTTTTTCCGATCGGTCCATAACTGGGCATAGCTCCCATACAAGGTCCCCTCCCGAGAATCACTTAAACGCTCATAACTCATTACTTAATTAAGATACCCATATCAAATTTGGTACAAGTATTGCTAGTTTGTACAGAAACATTACTTCGAAATTCGATTGGTCCATAATTGCCTTGAAAATTTTCTCCTTTTAATAGAAAAATGTTGAAAATTTCCTGTTTTTTAAAGAAACTTTTGAAAAATGTATCTTTTTTATAGAAAATTGTCTCTTTATTATAAAAATTTTCGAAAGATCTATGATATGGCAGCTTAAGCAATACTATCCGCAACCTGCAATTCGACTTGAACTAACGGACCCTGGGCATAGGGAGGTTTGGAATTCGTTTCTAAGAAATAAGAACCTCTAACACTGAAATATGATAAAAATACAAACATTTACAGACAACGGTATCCATTGTAATTGGATAGCAATTGATTTGACTCATGATGTTACTTACCTCTCATCCACATAATAACCCATTAAAGCATGTGGTATTTCTGAGTAATTAGCACATTGATTATATAAATACTCCATATAGCTGCCACAATTATAGGACCAAAAGCCCACATTAGTTACAATAGATTCAGCGTAATATATATTAGAGCGAAAATGATTGCAATTTCCTAAACCATAAATAATATTAGGGAAAAAAACTCCAACATTTTATATTATTCTCTAACTTACTATACTCCTCTATAGGACTACAGCCAGGTTGTATAAGTTTTAAATAGTTGGGATAAAAATCAGCATGACCCATTGCACGACTTATGGAAAAAAATCGTGGATCTGTATGTATAACATCGACGAATTGAGCATCTGTAGGATCGAGACGCTCGGTTATATTGTCAGTATCAAAAGTGGGACCAGCGGGATCTAAACCTAATTAAAAAAGAAAATGTAAAACACTTTCTGTGAGTAAGTATATGTCATTATTTTACCTGTAATTCTCTTTACTCTATAATTTAAATAGTTCGCAGATAAACCGGCAATTTGCGCCCCTAAACTAAAACCAATTAAATGTATATCGTCCGGTGAGTACATTACCTGATCCACTAAATTATTGATTAGCAAGGCTAAACATTTCGCTATAATACGACTATTTTCTAGAGCCCAAGGTGTTAAGCAAAGAACTCTTGAGAGATTTTTATAATCCACACTTATTATATAAACACTCTCGTGTTGCAACAGTAGCGGACGTAATTCTTCATTAGGTGAAAGATCATGATCTAGTCCCAAACCATGTAATAGAATTTTTAAAGGTAAACGTTCGGGAAATGCAGCGGGATTAAGATTGAGTAGATCCAGCAATAAGGGATTTTGTTCAGTTTCTCTTGATAAATAAAGAATGAATTTTAAAATTTTTTATAAAAAGCAAAAATTTCGATAACATTTATATAAAAAGAGAAATTTTTGGAAAAAATCTATAAAAAAAGAGAAAAATTTCGAAAAGATAATTCTATGAAAAGTGAAATTTTTGAAAAATTTTTATATAAAATTAGAAAACATAATTTTATGAAAAGAGAAATTTATTGAAAAATTTTATATAAAAAGAAAATTTTCCAAAATGTTTTTATAAAAAGATAAAATTTTCTATCTATCTATCTATCTATCTATCTATCTATCTATCTATCTATCTATCTATCTATCTATCTATCTATCTATCTATCTATCTATCTATCTATCTATCTATCTATCTATCTATCTATCTATCTATCTATCTATCTATCTATCTATCTATCTATCTATCTATCTATCTATCTATCTATCTATCTATCTATCTATCTATCTATCTATCTATCTATCTATCTATCTATCTATCTATCTATCTATCTATCTATCTATCTATCTATCTATCTATCTATCTATCTATCTATCTATCTATCTATCTATCTATCTATCTATCTATCATCTATCTACTATCTATCTATCTATCTATCTATCTATCTATCTATCTATCTATCTATCTATCTATCTATCTATCTATCTATCTATCTATCTATCTATCTATCTATCTATCTATCTATCTATCTATCTATCTATCTATCTATCTATCTATCTATCTATCTATCTATCTATCTATCTATATATCTATCTATCTATCTATCTATCTATCTATCTATCTATCTATCTATCTATCTATCTATCTATCTATCTATCTATCTATCTATCTATCTATCTATCTATCTATCTATCTATCTATCTATCTATCTATCTATCTATCTATCTATCTATCTATCTATCTATCTATCTATCTATCTATCTATCTATCTATCTATCTATCTATCTATCTATCTATCTATCTATCTATCTATCTATCTATCTATCTATCTATCTATCTATCTATCTATCTATCTATCTATCTATCTATCTATCTATCTATCTATCTAACGAAATTTCTGTCAAGAAATTTAAAAAAAAATTGTATAAATTTTCAATAAAAATAAAAATTTTTTACGTAATTAAAAGTTTTTGAAAAAAAAAATTCTATAATTTTTTTGTAATATTCTATAAAAATATAATAATATAAAATTACCAAAAAAATGGAAAGTTTTTTAAAAACTGTCTATAAAAAAGACTAAATATTTTCTTTAAAAGAAAAATTTTGAGAAAATTTTCTATAAGAGTAAACATGTTTTTAAAAGGAAAAGTTTTTCAATAATTTCTGTAAAGAGAGAAATTTTCCGAAAATTTTCTTCAAAAAAAAAAAAAAAAAATCGAACATTTTCTTTTGCTCAACTTACTTGGTGTACAACCAAAATTGTATATCCTTATTAGGACATTGATCCTCAGCATAATAGCAATGTAAACGATTGTTTTTATGTCTTCTGGTAAAAGCACTAGCCGGAGAATTAAAACTAAAAACAACTAATTTAATAGTTTAAAAAAATAAATTGATTTAAATATTATTAATTACTTTTTAATTTCCCATCAAAATTAAAAAAAGAAACACACACTCACTTTCTATAACCACCGCTAATACGAAATAAAAACTAAATAGTTTCATATTTGTTGATAACAAATATTCTAATAATAAAATTTAATATTTGCATGACAATTTTGTTTATATACAATAAAAAAAAAAAAAATAAAAAATTATAAATTAAAAATACAATAGAATAATAATAATAAAAATGACCTTAGAAATATACAAATTTTATTTAATTATTAGATATACTGTTATAAATAATCACTAAAAATAAATGGGTTTAACCACTAATAATACCACAAATGGCTTATATTGAATACAGGCCTTTCAAATTTGTTAAACGGGCCTTTAATTAAGGTTTCAAATAATTTAGTTTTTCATCGAAATGTGTGAGTTTACGAAATTCTACAAATTCATTATCAGTCCAATCGACAAAAGCTTTACGCAGTTGAGGTTCAAATTCTTCGTCATATATATCTTTATAATCGTAGAGTACTGGTAAATTTCGATGTTGAGCCTGGGAACTTGTTGTATAGGGTCCCAAGGCGAAAGGGGATTGGTTAGAGGTTTTAAGGAAAAATGAACCAGAGGCACTGGAATATGGTAAAAATTAGTAAAAGTTGTATATATATATTTTTTTTTATTGAACTGTTTTTACCTTTGATTAACATGGAACCCCATTATTTCATCATTTGATTGAGTATTACATAGGCCAAAGATATTATGCAGCCAACTGGGACAACTATAAGCCCAAAAACCCTTATTACTGCGTATAGATTCCGCATAATATTGAGGAGCTCGATCGTGATTACAACTGCCGGGATCTAGAAATAGATTGTAGAGAGACTCAGCAATTCTTTTAGGAAAAAATAAAGTTTACAAATTTTCTCTAAGAAGAGAAAAGATTTATAAAAGATTTTCTATGAAAAGAGTAATTTTCGGAAATTTTCTATTGTAAAAGAAATTTTGGAAATTTGTTTTCAAAAATTTTCTATAAAAAGAGAATATTTTCAAATTTTTTTTTTAAAAAAGAGACATTTTTCAAAAGTTTTCTATAAAAAGAGAAATTTTTGAAAAATTTTCTATAAAAAGAAACATTTTTTATAAAATTTTTTCGAAAATATTCTATAAAAAGAGTATTTTTTCAAAAATTTTCTATAAAAGAGACATTTTTGGAAATTTTCTATAAAGAAGTGAATTTTTCCGAACATTTTCTATAGAAAGAGAAACTGTTTTAAAAATTTGAATAAAAAGACAATATTTTTTTAACATTTTCTGTGAAAAAAGAGACTTTTTTTAATTTTCTATTAAAAGGAGATATTTTTTGAAAATTTTCTATAAAAAAGAGAAAATTTTCTATTAAAAGAGAAATTTTTTTTAAATTTTATATAAAAGAGAGAAAAATTTCTATTAAAAGAAAAATTTTTCGAAAATTTTAATAAAAAGAGAATTTTTTTGTAAAAAGAGAGAAAATTTTCTATAAAAAGAGAAATGTTTCCAAAATGTTGAAAATGTTCTATAAAAAATGAAAAAAAATTTCTATTAAAAGAGAAATTTTTTTTAAATTTTATATAAAAGAAAGAAAAATTTCTATTAAAAGAGAAATTTTTCGAAGATTTTCTATAAAAAACAGAAAATTTTCTAAAATTTTAATAAAAAAAAAAATTTTTAAATTTTCTGTACAAAAAGAGAAAATTTTCCATTGAAAGAGAAAGTTTTCTAAAATTTTCTATAAAAAAGTGAAAATTTTCTGTAAAAAGAGATTTTTTTTAAAATTTTCTATAAAAGAAAGAAAAATTTCTATTAAAAGTGAAATTTTTTGAAGATTTTCTATAAAAAAGAGAAATTTTTCGAAGATTTTCTATAAAGAATAGAAATTTTTCGAAAATTTTCTATAAAAAAGAGAAATTGTTTTAAAAAATTTAATAAAAAATACATTTTTTTTTAAATTTTCTGTAAAATGAGACATTTTTTGAAAATTTTCTATAAAAAGGAGAAATTTTTCGAAAATTTTCTTATTATAGAGAAATGTTCCATTAAAAGAGAACATTTTCTATAAAAAAGAGAAACTTTTCTATTAAAAGAGAAATTTTTCGAAAAAAAGAGAAAAAAAATTCTATTAAAAGTGAAAAATTTTTCAAAATTTTCTATAAAAAATAATAAATTTTTTAAAGATTTTTTATAAAAAAGAGAAATTTTTCGGAGATTTTCTATAAAGAAGAAAAAAATTTTCTATAAAGAAGAGAAATTGTTTTAAAAATTTTAATAAAAAGAGAAATTTTTTTGACATATTCTGTAAATGAGACATTTTTTGAAAATTTTATATAAAAAAGAGAAACTTTTCGAAAATTTTCTATAAAAAGAAAAATGTTCCATTAAAAGAGAAAATTTTCTATAAAAAAGAGAAAATTTTCTAAAAAAAAAAGAGAAAAATTTCTATTAAAAGAGAAATTTTTGGATAATTTCTTAAAAGAACTTACCCTCCATATTTTCCTCCTGACAACCCGGTTGATAGGGTCCAATATTAGGATAAAAATCTACATGACCCATAGTCCTTAGCATACCACGACCCAAAACATCAGTATGAATAACATCTACGAATTCAGCATCGGTAGGATCAAGTTTACGATCAGAACCGACGGTAATAAACATGGGTTTAGCAGGATCTAAACCTAAAAAAATTAAAACAAATTCCAACAAAATTAAACTAAATGCTATGACATGATATCCCACAACATACCGGTAATTCTTTTAAGACGCCTTTTAAGATAATTAGCAGTTTGTCCCGCCACCTGAGCACCCAAACTAAAACCGATCATGTGAATATCATCATTTTCCACCACACCCTGATCGACCAGAGTATTAATTAAATGAGCCAAACATCTGCTGGCTAAAGGTAAATTTTCAACAGCAGCAAAATAACAAGGATAAGGAACTAAAGCACCATAATCCACGGAAATAACATAGACATCTAGCGACTCCAAGAGAGCGGGTCTAATATAACGATTTGGCGAATAGTCACGATCGCCCGTATAGCCGTGTAAAACAATAAATAAAGGTTTTCTAGGTTGAAAATCTTTAGGCTGGAGATTTAAAGGATCCAGTTTAACAGGTGCTTCAGCAGTTTGTCTTAAAGAAAATTATTTAATTAATGAAAGTTGCAACAACTTAAGAAAATAACAAAATTACTTGTTATACAGCCAAAAGGTAACGTTTTCATTTGGACACTCCATATTACGTATCACCACACATTTGGGATCGAATAAACCCACAAAAGGATTTGCTAAACAAAAACCTGTAATTCAGATTAATAAGCTTTTAAATAAAAAAAAAAATAAATTATTTAAATTGTAAATTTACCTTTTAAAAATATTACAAATATAAAAATTTTAAACATAATTTCTTTAAACTTGAAAAACGTTGCTTTTACGTTTATGTGAGTTTTGTTAATACTTAACATTTCACACAACTTAATAGCTTTTATAAACTGAATCTTTATTTCGGTATTAATGTTTGTCGTTGTCTAACAGCTCTATTCGGAAATTTCTAATACTAACCTATCCCAATTTGATTAACACCCGAATTTCATTTTTTTATTTTTTTTTTTTTTTTCTATTGTAAATAAATATATATTTTTTATTTAACAATTGTTAGAAATTAAATTTTATTTTAATTATTTGTTTTTTTGTTAACCCACCACCAAGTGGGTGGGTATTATTATCACTCATCTTGTTTAGAAATGAATTTTTGTGTGTTTAGAATTTTTAAACACCCTCATGTCGTTTTTACTATTTAAATGTATGTTAATGCGAATTTGCTCTAATTTTAAATGTCATTCACTGTCAGAGTCAAGTTTTTTTGATTTAAATTTGTATTTCTGATTGATAAATACTTCTGTAGTATTTTCGTTATTGCAATAATTTTAGATCAAGGTTTTTGGGTCAATTTTAAGGCTTAGACAGACAACTTTATTTGATTTAATTTGTTATATTCTTCAGCGAAATTTTGAATCTAATGAAACTTATTTGTATCGCATTTGGTATCCATATCGCCAGTGCCATACAGCGTTAATGTTATTCTCTGACCTTATATGGGGGATAACTTCGATTATCACCTGATGTTCGCGAAAACATCACAGTAAAACATCACAGAAAAATTATGACTCGTTAAACTGTATCTATCGCATTTTTAACAATCAGACTAACTAACTAACTAACTAACTAACTAACTAACTAACTACTAACTAACTAACTAACTAACTAACTAACTACTAACTAACTAACTAACTAACTAACTAACTAACTAACTAACTAACTAACTAACTACTAACTAACTAACTAACTAACTAACTACTAACTAACTAACTAACTAACTAACTAACTACTAACTAACTAACTAACTAACTAACTAACTAACTAACTAACTAACTAACTAACTAACTAACTAACTACTAACTACTAACTAACTAACTAACTAACTAACTACTAACTAACTAACTAACTAACCTAACTAACTACTAACTAACTAACTAACTAACTAACTAACTACCTAACTACGAACTAACTAACTACTAACTAACTAACTAACTAACTAACATAACTACTACACTAACTAACTAACTAACAACTAACTAACTAACTAACTAACTAACTAACTAACTAACTAACTAACTAACTAACTAACTAACTAACTACTAACTAACTAACTAACTACTAACTAACTACTACTAACTAACTAACTAACTAACTAACTAACTACTAACTAACTAACTAACTACACTAACTAACTAACCTAACTACTAACTAACTAACTAACTAACTAACTACTAACTAAACTAACTAACTAACTAACTAACTAACTAACACTAACTACTAACTAACTAACTAACTAACTAACTAACTACTAACTAACTACTAACTAACTAACGAACTAACTAACTAACTAACTAACTAACTAACTACTAACTAACTAACTAACTAACTAACTAACTAACTACCTAACTAACTAACTACTACCTAACTACTACTAACTAACTAACTAACTAACTAATACTACACTAACTACTACACTAACAACCTAACTAACTAACTAACTAACTAACTAACTAACTAACTAACTACTAACTAACTAACTAACTACTAACTAACTAACTAACTAACTAACTAACTAACTAACTAACTAACTAACTAACTAACTAACTAACTAACTAACTAACTAACTAACTACTAACTAACTAACTAACTACTAACTAACTAACTAACTAACTAACTAACTAACTAACTAACTAACTAACTAACTAACTAACTAACTAACTAACTAACTACTAACTAACTAACTAACTAACTAACTAACTAACTAACTAACTAACTAACTAACTAACTAACTACTAACTAACTAACTAACTAACTAACACTAACTAACTAACTAACTAACTAACTAACTAACTAACTAACTAACTAACTAACTACTAACTAACTAACTAACTAACTAACTAACTAACTAACTAACTAACTAACTAACTAACTAACTACTACTAACTAACTAACTAACTAACTAACTAACTAACTAACTAACTACTAACTAACTAACTAACTAACTACTAACTAACTAACTACTAACTAACTAACTAACTAACTAACTAACTAACTAACTAACTAACTAACTAACTAACTAACTAACTAACTAACTAACTAACTAACTAACTAACTAACTAACTAACTAACTAACTACTAACTAACTAACTAACTAACTAACTAACTAACTAACTAACTAACTAACTAACTAACTAACTAACTAACTAACTAACTAACTAACTAACTAACTAACTAACTAACTAACTAACTAACTAACTAACTAACTACTAACTAACTAACTAACTAACTAACTAACTAACTAACTACTACTAACTAACTAACTAACTACTAACTAACTAACTAACTACTAACTAACTACTAACTAACTAACTAACTACTAACGAACTAACTAACTAACTAACTAACTAACTAACTAACTAACTAACTAACTAACTAACTAACTACTAACTAACTAACTAACTAACTAACTACTAACTAACTAACTAACTAACTAACTACTAACTAACTAACTAACTAACTAACTAACTAACTAACTAACTAACTAACTAACTAACTAACTAACTAACTAACTAACTAACTAACTAACTAACTAACTAACTAACTAACTAACTAACTAACTAACTAACTAACTAACTAACTATAACTAACTAACTAACTAACTAACTAACTAACTAACTAACTAACTAACTAACTAACTAACTAACTAACTAACTAACTAACTAACTAACTAACTACTAACTAACTAACTAACTAACTAACTAACTAACTACTAACTAACTAACTAACTAACTAACTAACTACTACTAACTACTAACTAACTACCTAACTAACTAACTAACTAACTAACTAACTAACTAACTAACTAACTAACTAACTAACTAACTACTAATACTAACTAACTAACTAACTAACTACTAACTAACTACTAACTACTAACTAACTAACTAACTAACTACTAACTAACTAACTAACTAACGAACTAACTAACTAACTAACTAACTAACTACTAACTAACTAACTAACTAACTAACTAACTAACTAACTAACTAACTAACTAACTAACTAACTAACTAACTAACTAACTACTAACTAACTAACTACTAACTAACTACTAACTAACTAACTAACTAACTAACTACTAACTAACTAACTAACTAACTAACTAACTACTAACTAACTACTAACTAACTAACTACTAACTAACTAACTAACTAACTACTAACTAACTAACTACTAACTAACTAACTAACTAACTAACTAACTAACTAACTACTAACTAACTAACTACTAACTAACTAACTAACTAACTACTAACTAACTAACTAAACTAACTAACTAACTAACTAACTAACTAACTAACTAACTAACTAACTAACTAACTAACTAACACAACTCTAACTAACTAACTAACTAACTAACAACTAACTACTAACTAACTAACTAACTACTTAACTAACTAACAACTAACTACTAACTAACTAACTAACTAACTAACTAACTACTAACTAACTAACTAACTAACTAACTAACTAAACTAACTAACTAACTACTAACTAACTAACACTCACTACTCTAAACTAACACTAACTACTAACTAACTACATTTAAGTTGAATTGTACCTTCCTCAGATATACCGTGCCTAATCATCAGAAATTCACAAGGGTCATCAAGTTTAGTAGTATAGAACTTGGTTTTGCAAGCTTTTTTGTCGGATAAATACACTAAGCCTATTCGGAGAGTTCAATTGTAATGGGTTAGGGGAAATAATGACTGATCATTCAGTAGGCTTTGTCCCTGAGACAATAAAAGATCATGTACCAAATTTCATTCAATTATCTTCAAAATTGCGACCTGTAGTCTGATTACATGGTTTACATGGACGGACGGACTTAGCTAAATCGACTCAGAAAATGGTTCTAAGCCGATTGGTATATTTTAAGGTATTATTGTGCGTTACAAACATCAGCACAAAGCCCCACTAAAGTGATGTAAGGTATAAAAAAGTAGCTTTTGTTGAATATGAACTTTTTGTAAAGCTTTAGGATAAAAAGCGAAAGTTTTTTACTGAACATTTTATGCCTTCATAAATATGAAAGCTTGGTTTTAAATAAAACTATTTGTTTTAATAATTCAATATTGAAAGCTTTTCTATAATAACAATATTTTTAAGAAAACTAAAATTAAAAGTACTTTTTTAAGGCAATTTTATTAAAAATTAACAAAATTTCATTAAAGTAATGTCTGTATTATAAAATCATTTAACAAGTAACGGTTTAATTAAGATTTAAATTTGAAAACTTTATTAGCAAGCTTTTTTCCAAATAAACTGTTACCAAAAAAGAGCGCCAAAACCAAACGATTTGTTATAAGAAAACAGCTCTTAAACTAAAACACACATAAAAAAATCAAAAAGCTTAAGATCCATAAATATAAACCCAGACAGACGGACAGCCAGTCATCTGTTTATTTACGTAGAAACCAACTAAGCAAGAGCAGCAAACGAAAGCAAAAGTTGTAAGCCAGCAAACAGATTTAATTGAGCACGCCAGCTAAACGGTCTTGAAACACAACGAAAACGGATGTCTGCGGACTACGATTAAAAACGATTTTTCAAAAAAAAAAAAAAAAATTTAAGTGATTTTTTTTGGAATAAAAACAAATTAATAATACATATGTAACTATAACAAGTTTAAAAATAATTTAGTAATTAAAATCAGTTAAAAAAAGCTCTTAGCCTACATTGATACTCACCTGTAAATAAAAACGGATATTGGTGGTTTAACAAACGTGTTGCAAGTTGTTTTTTTCTATATTTAAACTAAAAGTGCTAATAACTTGCTTAAATTTTAATTAAAACAAAAATATTTAAATATTTTGTCATAATATTACATAATTTGGTTAAAGCTTAAGTTTGTTGTTGTTGTTGCTTCTAACAAACCCCAACCAAAATAAACAGCAACTATATTAGTTTATTTAGTTAGTTTGTTGTTGTTGTTGTTTTTATACATAAAATATCTTAAATTCCAAACCAAACTACCAACAACCACTACCATTTGTGACAACATACAGAGGCCATAACTTAACAACAAAAACTAAAAATAACAACAACAACTGTAACTTAAAAAAAAACCACAACTACATCTATAAATTAATGAATATATGTTAAAACCCACAACTTGTTAACTGCATAATAATTTGGCCAAAATTGAAAAAAAAAATTCAAATCAAATAAGTTTTCTTCAAAAAAAAAAAGTTCTTTAAAATCTATATTACTTAACTTTGCAATATTTATAATTAAGTGTTTAAACAAATACAAATACAAATTGTGATTACAACATGCCTGCCAAAAACCAAAAACTCACCAACTGCAGTCGTACATTACTGTTGTTTATTGTATGGCTCAGCTGTTTCTACCAAAATGCCG